AGCGACCCACATGGGGCAATCTAAGTGAAAAAACACAACATATTCAAGAACATGATTCATTAAATTAAACAACTCAACTTCTCTCATCAATTTCGATTATCAATCCATACCAATTCAACATGCAACCTCCAAATCAACATATATACATCATAAACAACTCTGATTCAACAAAATAAACAGCATGCAATCTCAACATGGATCAAGACCATCCTTTCTCCTTCCAACACCAAGAAAAACCTCAAAAATAACCCTTAGGGTTCTACCCTTCAAATTTCAACATAAACCATGATTAAAACATGAATTCAACAAAAACAATTCAACAGATTCATCTTAGAAAGTTAAATCACTAGATTCTCTTACCTCAAAATTTTCACAAATGAGGAAAAGAAGGAAAGACAGTGAAAATGAGACTTCTCAAGCTCTTGCTGTGTGACAAACCTAAATCTTTGATTCTCAACTATAGGCTTCAAATCTCAACTCAACTACAACAATCTTTGCTCTAAGGAAGGATCAGAGTAATTCTATAAAGTGAAAAGGAATAAAGGTACCCTCTAGAGTTTATTTCTCTAAAACCTCACTCTAAAATATCTAAGAAATGAATTTACAAAGTTCAAGTTCTCAAAAACCCTTTATACATTCCTCTAAATATGGTCAACTTTAACCTCAGTATAAAACAACCACAAACAATTAACTCAAAAAAATTATTTAATTGTTAGAATTTTAAGACATTAAAACAACACGTCATCATAAATTATTTAAATATTAAAAAATGTTAAACAACATTATAGCAATATATCATCTATCATGGATAGAATATCACCATTTTATATTAAACTTCACATATTTTTTTATTTTTTTATATTAATTTTTAGCATCAATTCCTCTATAACTTAAATTTTGATTTGTATTTCTTATTTTGTTAAAAATACAGACACTTTAGGTCCAATACCTTGGATCCATTATATGCTGATGTGCCATATATATGAACATAAAATTCATGGCACCAGTTGGAGTTATATATCGATTATTAGTGAACTGATGTAGAAATTCTAATATAGAACAATATTTTGTTGTACTAAATACATATGATGTATAAAAAAATAACATACAATAAAATAATACTTTTTAATTATACGCCGCATTTTAATCCGAATAAAAATGAAATAGGCAAATAGCAACATAAATAATATAGAGAAAAAAGACTACTATAAAACTAGCTACATGACTTTTGATTATATTTTGAGTCTCTTGTATATAACCCTAGATTCTAGGATATCACACATCCAGCCGAGAGCCACGCCGACCCTAGTTTACTTGTGAATTTTTATGAGCATGATTGTGTTGATATGTATAATAAAATTAAAATAAAAAACTATGTAATTAGAACACTACTAGAATTTTTCTTATTACATGCGACTTTTCTTGCAAATTTTTCATAAAAATTTGCAGGAAAGTTTCCTGCGAATTTTCCTGCATTTTTTTTTGCAGGAAACTTTCCTGCGAATTTTCCTGCATTTTTTTTTGCAGGAAACTTTCCTGCGAATTTTCCTGCATTTTTTTTTGCAGGAAAATTTCTTGCAAATTTTTCATAAAAATTTGCAGGAAATTTTCCTGCGAAATTTCTTGCGAAAAAAATCGCAGGAAAGTTTCCTGCAAAAAAAATTTGCAAGAAATTTTCCTGCAAAAAAACATTTGCAGGAAATTTTCCTGCAAAAAAAAATGCAGGAAAATTCGCAGGAAACTTTCCTGCGAATTTTTTCGCAAGAAATTCTGCAGGAATATTTTTTACGAAAAAAATTTAAAAAAATTACTATAAATTCTATATTTTAAGAATTCATAATCTTTTATTTTCATGCCTCATACATAATCTTTTAAATTCTAAGATTGTAGATTATAAGTCTAACACTCAGCCATACAATTCAACTTATAAGGTAAGTGTTACTCTAACTTATATACTCTTTAATTGTTTTATTTTCAATCGATATGGGACTTGAATATTTTTTAAAATATTAAACTTATGAATTTAAATATATTTTTTTATTTTTCCTGCGAATTAAAATTTGCAGGAAAATCCGCAAGAAAAGTTACCTGCAAAATTTTTCTACTATTTAGTAAACATTACTTGCGAATTTATTTTTGCAAGAAAATCTGCAAGAAACAAAATAAAATTCTTACAATATTTTCTGCAAATTTTTACCATGGAAAATTTTTTTCCATGATTATTAAAATTGTAGCAAAATTTATAAGAAATATCTGTAAATTGTATTTTGCAGGAAAATTCGCAAAAATTTTCTGCGAATATTTTTTTGCAGGAAAATTCGCAAAAAATTTCTGCAAATATTTTTTTGCAGGAAAATTCGTAAAAACTTTCTACGAATATTTTTTTCAAGAAAATTTGCAAAAAAAAATAACACTTTTCTAGTAGTGGAATTAAAAAAAAAAAACTATGTGTTGATATTAACCATGACACAAAATCTCGACATTAGGAATTAAAATATAAAAAAATATTTAATATAAATCAAAATAGACAAAATAATTTCATTAAAATAAAAAAATATTATACATTATAGAAACTTAAACGTTATTTAAACCTTATTATTATTATTATTATTATTATTATTATTATTATTATTATTATTATTATTATTATTATTATTATTATAACACTTTATAACACCTAGACCCTACATGGTTGAGGTGATGTTTGATACGAAACTATGCATGAACAACGTCAAATAGTGTCCGACATGGTCCATTGGATGCCTGACGCGATACTAGTTTGTGACGAACCTATAAACTGTGCAAAAATCATACATCACGAGCCAAAATCTTCAACTCAATTGGTAAAAATCATGATTAAAGGTTAATACTACTCTATTGTATCAACAATTACTTAAATCTAATATCAATTTCATATATTCATGCAATTAATATCAATATTCACTTTACTCTATAAATGAAGGGTTTCCTACTAGAAATACATGCACTAAGATTCTCAAACATCACATATAATGCACATAAGAAGAGTATAAAACATGAATTCATAGTTTACAAGATAGAATTAGGATTTGTCCCTCACAACATACAAGAACAGATAAGAGATTTGAAATCAATCTCACTACCCATCGTATATCTTATGCCTAATGCGAGATTACTCATTCTCCTTTATCTTAATGAATAGGGCACGAATTTCTAAGTGATCTTTAGCAATTTCTCTGATTCTCTTAATTCTTTAGATCATGAAAATATAAGGAAAAAATGAGAAACGAGAAACCTAATAACATAAAACTGACCTAACTCCTCATAAAACATCCAAACTAGTGTCTAACTCATTAATTAATCAAATAAATTGTGGTTATACTTTTCTTCCCTCAAATATTAAAATAAAATATAATTAATATATAAAATAAAAAAAAATTTCAACACAATTATAAATAAAATAAAATACATAAAATATATTTTCTAAAATACATTTAATTACATAATTAATTAAAACACACATTTTTCCAAATACTTTCTATAACAAAATAACATTAAAAACACATTTTTCACCAATAAATATTATATGAAATAATTTCACAAACATTTATTATTAAATTAAAAACACTCATAATTATTACAAGCTTTTAAAATATTTTATAAAAGTCCTTTTATTAATTGAAACATCTTTTTCATAATTTTAAAGAACTTGAAATTTTACGTAAGTTAACTAAAATTTCTCAATTAATATAAAAATACACTTTATATTTTATAAATAAATATAAATAATGATATTTTATATGCAATCATTATTTTTGTATTTAATAGGAGTTATGTTTTTCAAGAGTAGCTATGCAAAATTAGCATTGCATCAATATTTTTTTATTCAAGTTTTTGTCAATATAAATTAAGTTCGCGCGAAATCACAGTCAATTTTTTACTCTAACCAGCCACCGTTGGACATACATAAACATTACGCATAATTTTATTTATTTTAACAACATTAAAGATTAAAAATTATAATAATTAAATATAAAAATATTATTTGTTCCTAAAAAAGGAGGGTGTTTATAAACTAAACTTAGCCTTGACTCCTAAGCGATGAGTCACCGCATCTAAGGTATTGTCCGCTTTGGTGCTCGTTGGACCGTCATGGTTTTGTCCTTTAAAAGGCGCCTCGGTAGATTAAGGAGGGAGGATGTTTATAAACTACCCTTAACCTCGACTCCTAAGTGAAAATAGTTCAAACTGATTTTATTACTAGTGATTTTTTTTATTGATTTCAAAGGATTTTCGAATTAATGAAACAAATTATTTTTTCCATGATTGGAAATGATAAAGCATAGTCCACACACTGATGAAGATTTTATCCATGTTTATGGAAACAAGGAACAAAATCTCAAAAAGTTTGCGAGCACTTCCACTGGGAAAACAACATTTCCATGACTAGGCTCGGCACTTCCACGAGGTGCGTAACTGGATTATTGTCTACCCAAAAAATGTACAGTAAAATTTAGTATTCCTCGCATAGGGATCGTCCTAATTTTTATAAAATTAAACTTGATGTTAATCTTCTTTTATCATAAATGATACAACACAACAAACAATATCGATAATTAAAAGAAAAAGTTAAAATTAAGATCGGATCAAACTTACTTTAAGATTTATAACTCAAAGGCACACTTTTTTGATTTTCAAAAACTCATTTTAAAAGATGTATCTTCAAATGGTATAAAAATATAGTTATTTTTGGAATAGAAGAGTCTCACACTCATTTTTCTTACTAGAAAAAATTTATCGCATTCATTGCACCTCCTTTTCAGAAATCTGTAAAAAAAAAAATAAAAAAAAATTGTGGGTGTTTGAATTGACATTATTTACTTAGATTAATCTAAAAAATTATATTAGAATTGATAATAGATGGAGAATTATAAATATATATTTTTGTGAGATGTGAAACCAAGTTGAAGTGAGATAGTTTGAAACACATTGGATGGACGGAGCGAAGCGAAGGATTCCCGGAAAGAGAAAGAAGGAGTGCACAAATTTCACGAGTCGTACCTACTACCTAGTCGCTACTATTGTTTTTGAGGTCAATAAAAAAAACCGCGCTAGCTCTTCCATCATGTTCAATGGTCAGTGGTCAGTGGTCAGCACACATACACATACACATACACATACTGACATACATATTCCATTCTCTATAAATAATACATACCCCTGGCCCTGGCTTTGCATCAAACACAAACACCCACAGGCCACAGCAACAAACATGGCAACTTCCTCCGCCACGCTCTCCCCTCCATTCCTGCGTCACGATTTCCCCTCCGCCAGAAAACAAGAAACACCTCGCACCCTCCGCGTGCTTGCCTCCGTATCGGAGAAACCCGTAGCGGCGGTGTCGGTGACCGCCCCGGAGCCCACCAAGCTCCCCATCCGCAAAATCCCCGGCGACTGCGGGTTCCCGGTCATCGGCCCCTTGAAGGACCGCCAAGACTACTTCTACAAGCAAGGGAGAGATGAGTTCTTCAAGTCCCGCATCCAGAAGTACCAGTCAACGGTCTTCCGCACCAACATGCCACCTGGCCCCTTCCTGGCCCCCAACCCAAACGTCGTCGTTCTCCTCGACGGTAAATCCTTCCCTCTCCTCTTCGACACATCCAAGGTGGAGAAAAGAGACGTCTTCACCGGCACCTACATGCCCTCCACCGACCTCACCGGCGGCTACAGAGTCCTCTCCTACCTGGACCCCTCCGAACCCAAACACGCCCTCCTCAAGCAGCTCATGTTCTTCCTCCTCAAGTCCCGCCGCAGCCACGTCATCCCCGAGTTTCACGCTTCCTACAACGAACTCTTCCAGGCGCTGGAGTCCAACCTGGCGGAGAAAGGCAAAGCCAGCTTCAGCGAAGCCAACGACCAAGCCGCCTTCGACTTCCTCGGCCGCTCCCTCTTCGGGTCCAACCCCGCCGACAGCGCACTCGCCCGCGACGGCCCAAAGCTCGTCCAGAAATGGGTCCTCTTCCAGCTGGGCCCAATTCTCAAACTGGGGTTCCCGCAGTTTCTAGAAGAATCCACCATCCGCACCTTCCGCCTCCCCTCCTTCCTCATCAAAAAAGACTACCAGAGACTCTACGACTTCTTCTACCAATCCTCCGCCTTCGTCTTCGAGGAGGCCGACCGCTTGGGAATCGCGCGCGACGAGGCTTGTCACAATCTCTTATTCGCCACCTGCTTTAATTCATTCGGCGGGATGAAGCTCTTTTTCCCCAACGTCCTCAAGTGGATCGGCCGCGCCGGGGTCAAGCTCCACGCGCGCCTCGCAACCGAGATTAGAACCGCCGTCAGATCCGCCGCCGGGGAGATCACCATGGCCGCCATGGAGAACATGCCGCTCATGAAATCCGTGGTGTACGAGGCCTTCCGCATCGACCCTCCGGTGCCGCTGCAGTTTGGGAAAGCCAAGCGGGATTTGATTGTGGAGAGCCACGAGCACGCGTTTCACGTGAAGGAGGGGGAGATGCTCTTTGGCTACCAACCTTTTGCCACCAAGGATCCTAAGATTTTCGATCGGGCCGAGGAGTTTTTCGGGGACAGGTTTATGGGGGAGGAAGGGGAGAAGCTACTCAACCACGTGCTTTGGTCCAATGGCCCTGAAACTGAATCTCCAACACTCGGGAACAAGCAATGTGCAGGGAAGGATTTCGTCACGTTGGTGTCTCGCCTTCTCGTGGTCGAGTTTTTCCTTCGCTATGACTCCTTTGAGATTCAAGTGGCAACTTCGCCGTTGGGATCTTCCGTTACCATTACCTCTCTTAAGAGAGCAAGCTTTTAGTCAATTATTATTATTATTATTATTTTTTTTTTAATTTTATTTTACTATATGCATTAATTTCTGGGTTTATTATATGGTTACATCAATGTCTTCATTTCATTTATGTTTATAAGTATATACCTGTAATCTTCGCAACTTAATTGTACACTGGACTTTAGCTAGTGCGGTCTAATAATAGCTTTCGCGTGGGGCATCATGCACTCCACTATAACTAGTGGAAGCTACTAGGAATCTTGGATATATCTGCTGCTTCTGCTGCCATGTCATATATAATGTGCTCCAATATTCAAAAATGAATCACACAAGATAACGTTGCGTCGGGCTCTCTCTGTTCGATGTGATTTTCAACCGATTGTATTCTACCATATGGATTTTATTTGTTAACAAAGGTTAGTCAAATCGTTAAGGAATAAATTATTTTAAAAGAATGTGTCTTTAATTTTTATCCATTCGAAAATTTTGTTAATAGATAATTTGTAAGTATTTTTATATATGATAGGAACATTTTATGACAATAGTGTGTATCGATGTCAAATATTGTTTGATCAAGTCCAGGAGTATTTGATGTAATATGAGTTTTTTCTTATGCTACCCATATTGATCAAGCCCTTGTAAAGTCATCAAGTTTTCTATCTAATGTTTATCTAGTTTTTATATATTTTTCTCTCATTCTTAGTTTTAATTTTCAAGCCCTTGTAAAGTCATCAAGTTTTCTATCTAATGTTTGTCTAGTTTTTATATATTTTTCTCTCATTTTTAGTTTTAGTTTTTCTTATAATTTTTTCTCTCTTGTATTTATTATTGAAGTTATATAAGCGATCAATCAAATTTCTAGAAAAGGGTACTTCCAATTATAATTATTTTTTTCCCTTTGTTTAATAGGTTCTAACAACATGTATGACTAGTTCTCTCATTCTAGGGTATTCTAGGGTTATGATGTAATTGTTCCTTGAGAATTATAATGATAAATTTATAAATTTCTTCTTGTTAAATTGTCGTATTTTTTAAATGTTTCTGTTCCGGCCACGGGACGAACTAGGGTTTCCTCTAGGTCAAGCCGCGAAGCCAGAGCATTCAAAAGTGTAATCTGCCTTCTCAACTCTAGGGTTTTGGGTTTTATGTTATGTCGTTCATGGGCCACTTGGGCCCCGAGGATCAAGAGATTTCCTTAACCGTTAATATTTGGAGAATATCTTGTCATTAAAGATGGGATCTTATCCCTGATATCGGAACAGTATCTATGTGGGAGAGTTAGACCGGATTTTGGCCGAGTTACCCCTGCAGAGCAGACAGGTCGGATTATGACCGAGTAGAGATCAGTCGGATTTTTACCTAGACGGTACACTAGTCGGATTTTTACCTAGACGGTACACTTAGTCGGATTTTTACCTAGACGGTCCCCTAGTCGGGTTTTTACCTAGACGGTACACTTAGTCGGATTTTTACCTAGATGGTACACTAGCCTTCCAGCCCTGAGCCTGAAAGGCGAAAGGGCTTAGGCAACCACTCCTACGAATCGTATCGGAAATAGGCGAGACGGTACACTTGCCTTCCAGTCCTGAGCCTGAAAGGCGAAAGGGCTTTGCTAGACAAGGAGACGGCTTAGCCATGGTCGACATGCCCCTCGTGGAGGCCCCTAGTCGGATTTCGTCCTGGACCATACACTAGCCCCCCAGCCTTGAGCGTGTATGGCGAGAAGGCTTATCCTCAGCCGATACATTCAGCTTTTTGTTGAGCACTCTTTTATGGCTAAGGCAAGGGACGGACCAAGAAGATTCACAGGCTCGTTATCTCAATTCGTGGCTCCTCGGGCTCTGGTAAGGGATGTGAGAAAATTCACCCAGTTAAAAAGCTTCAAATAGAGTAGTTGGTTAACTATCCGACTCAGTCACTTGGGTCACTGAAATACCGAGTTGAAATTCACCAAAATCCAGTCGACTAATTTCCGACTATAAATGATGAGAAAATTTGTTTGTTACAATGAAATTTGACAATCCGATTGCCGAAATTCCGATTAAACTTGGAAGTTTTTTGACTAGTTTATCATGAGATTTAATGACATGATCGGCAAAATTCCGACTGCACTAAAAGGAGGACAATTTTTCTAAAGTTAAAATGAGATAAACACGTGAAAAATAATCGCCTACATGTCGATTGAAACATTCATGCGAAACTTTTTTCAAGAAGCGAGCTTGATCATGTAATTGGTGATTTTGACTTTTAGTCAAAATGTGCGTGGAAGGTTTTCTAAGTAATCATGAAAAAGTCAACATAAAATGAGACTGAAGGGTATAATCGGCCGAATTCCGACTAAAGATGTGAAACTTTTTCTAACTGAAAGTGTAATCGGCAATATTCCGACTAAAGAAAAAAGAAATATGATTATTTTAATTTGAACGTGACGTTTGAAGAGGTCTCGCCTAGAATCCGATCAAGAAAAAAGAATATGATTATTCTAAGTTCAAAGTGACATTTGGATCATGTCTCGCCCAAATTTCGAGTAAGA